TTATATATTTCATTTATATACTGGGTTTTTAAATTATATTGTTTTTCACATATTTGTACACATTTTTTACATGGGTTTTATACAAGTTTTATGTATGTATTGATCATCATGTAAACCTTCTAGGTCCATATATATTTATAATAGAGGATCACACCCCCCTTTTTGGCCACCTGCCAGCATTTATCATCATCATTACTATTTATATATATAATGTTTATAATTTAATATTTTTTCATTTTTATTATTATTATTTTTATTTTTTCTTTTATCATTATTATTTTCATTATTATCCATTTTTCTCCAGTATATATTTTTACATTTTTCTCTGTCATTCAATCACCGTTCTTTATCATAACACATCATAGCAATAAACCTTTTTATTACATAACACTTCCATACAATCACATCACCATTCTATTTATATTTCATTTTACTAGTCATCCTCATTCTATTTATCCATTTGGCATTTGTGGTGTTTGGGGTTTGGGTCCCGCTCCCACACCTCCTCATAGCCTGGTCCGCTGGCATTTCCATCCCTTCTCCTTGACATTATTGCTTTTCCAGCACTATACATGGAGACAGTCTTCTCCTTCCACCCCACCTCTGACATACTTCCTCGGAGTGTGTCAGTCGGAACGGCTCTCGGGCTCATGCGCAGACCACATGGCGCAGTGCGCACCGGCAGGCCCATTCACTGACAGTCACGTCCACACACCACAGCGTGGCGAGCAGCACAGACGCCATGTCAGTTCCTCCATTTACATTTGGCACACATGTACAATCTGGGATACATCTGGCACATTTCACTATCTTCTAAAAACAATCCTTTTCCAATCATTACCGTTCACCTTACTACATGGTCCTTTCAGATTTCTGGCATGTATCCTAATGTAGAAGTACTAGAAATTCTGAGGACCCCTGCACACTGGAATATACCCTTTCAAGCAGACTATGCAATAAATAGGGATGTTTAGTTCACACATATTGCAATACATGCTTAAGCTGGCCAACTGCGTCAAAGTCATCCCTCTATGGCCAGTCCTACTCTGCTCTGCCTACTACAAAAAGTGTAGGACTGGCCATAGAGGGATGACTTTGACGCAGTTGGCAGCTTAAGCATGTATTGCAATATGTGTGAACTAAACATCCCTATTTATTGCATAGTCTGCTTGAGGGTATATACCAGTGTGCAGGGGGTCCTCAGAATATTTAGTGTTAATATGTGGTTACACCCCTTTAGCACCTGATGGATAAATGTATGCACTAGCTGTTGGGATTTGAGCACAGGGATCTCTTGTTTGTTCTAATGTACAGTCAGGTCCATAAATATTGGGACATGGACACAATTCTAACATTTTTGGCTCTATACACCACCACAATGGATTTGAAATGAAACAAACAAGATGTACTTTAACTGCGGACTGTCAGCTTTAATTTTAGGGTATTTACATCCAAATCAGGTGAACAGTGTAGGAATTACAGTTTGCATATGTGCCTCCCACTTGTTAAGGGACCAAAAGTAATAGGACAGAATAATAATCATAAATCAAACTTTCACTTTTTAATACTTGGTTGCAAATCCTTTGCAGTCAATGACAGCCTGAAGTGTGGAACGCATAGACATCACCAGACGCTGGGTGTCATCCCTGGTGATGCTCTGCCAGGCCTCTACTGCAACTGTCTTCAGTTCCTGCTTGTTCTTGGGGCATTTTCCCTTCAGTTTTGTCTTCAGCAAGTGAAATGCTCAATCGGATTCAGGTCAGGTGATTGACTTGGCCATTGCAGAACATTCCACTTCTTTGGTTGCTTTTGCAGTCTGCTTTGGGTCATTGTCCATCTGCACTGTGAAGCGTCCAATGAGTTGTGAAGCATTTGGCTGAATATGAGCCGATAATATTCCCGAAACACTTCACAATTCATCCGGCTGCTTCTGTCAGCAGTCACATCATCAATAAATACAAGAGAAGCAGTTCCATTGGCAGCCATACATGCCCACGCCATGACACTACCACCACCATGCTTCACTGATGGGATGGTATGCTTAGGATCATGAGCAGTTCCTTTCCTTCTCCATACTCTTCTCTTCCCATCACTCTGGTACAAGTTGATGTCGGTCTCATCTGTCCATAGGATGTTGTTCCAGAACTGGGAAGGCTTTTTTACATGTCGTTTGGCAAACTCTAATCTGGCCTTCCTGTTTTTGAGGCTCACCAATGGTTTCCATCTTGTGGTGAACCCTCTGTATTCACTCTGGTGAAGTCTTCTCCTGATTGGTGACTTTGACACACATACACCTACCTCCTGGAGGGTGTTCTTGATCTGGCCAACTGTTGTGAAGGGTGTTTTCTTCACCAGGGAAAGAATTCTTCGCTCATCCACCACAGTTGTTTTCCGTGGTCTTCCGGGTCTTTTGTGTTGCTGAGCTCACCGGTGCGTTCCTTCTTTTTAAGAATGTTCCAAACAGTTGTTTTGGCCGCCTAATGTTTTTGCTATCTCTCTGATGGGTTTGTTTTGTTTTTTCAGCCTAATGATGGCTTCACTGATAGTGACAGCTCTTTGGATCTCATCTTGTGAGTTGACAGCAACAGATTCCAAATGCAAATCGCACACTCGAAACGAACTCTGGACCTCACTTCCTGTCTGTGCCTGACCTCATTTCCTGTCTCTGCCTGACATCACTTCCTGTCTTCCATAGAGACTTCCTGTCTCTGTATATGTGTGATCACCACCTTGTGGAGATCAGAAGACCTGCAGCCCAAGAAATGTCACAAGAAAATGAAACCAAACTGTACGATGACAGCAAGATTTATTACCTACTTCAGCTCCGGAATGTTTTACCCCCTTCATGACCGGGGTATTTTTTGCCATTCAGCACTGGCAATTGTGCGGTCGTGCAACATTGCACCCAAATTAAATTGATATAATTTTGCACACAAATAGAGCTTTCTTTGGTGGTATTTGATCAGCACTGGGGGTTTATTTTTTAATACAAATGATATTTTTGATGGAATCCTTTTGCTTGGTTGACCTATAATAGTTTATAGGTCCATACTATGAGGTGAGCGGCCATCCTTATCCATAGGTGGAGGTGCAGATTTCACGGGGGAGCACTGCAGTCTTTCTGGAGCACATTCTATATCAAACACCTTTATTCTAGCACAATATTTGATTGAACTGTTCCAATTATAAGGACTTTTATTGTATATTTTATATGTATATATGTACATGAATATGGCGTGTATGAGATAGAGCAACACTGATTTTCAGATTGGATTAAATGATATCTTCTACTTTGTTATAAGACATATCCCATAAAATCAGATTTCTTCATACATGTAGTACAACGTGTATTCTGCTCCGTGTCTTTGGTAGAAGCATAGCTGAATCCGTGGATATTGATTGGTCTGTGTGAAGTTATGGCGTCTACAAACTATGGGATATAGAATGGAATTTATGCAGCTTTTACGTCGCTGTTACTTTCTGACTGCCGATCACATTTCTTGAGGCAGTAAAATGCCCGGACCTTACAAACATCCCCAAATGTCCCCTTTATGGGAAGGATACATCCCAAGGTATGTGCTGAGAGGCATGTTGTGTCCATGGAACATTTACAGTTTTTGCCATAAGTTATTGGAAAATGAAAAACAAAATCTCTTTACACCAAGTTGTCATTTAATGAGCTATTTCTGGCACACGTCATGGGGAGATGTGGAATTACACCCCAAAACACATTCTGCTACTTCTCCCCAGTATGAGGACACCCCAAGTGACAGACTTTCTGGCAGCCTTGCCACATACAGGTCCCAAAATCCAATGACCACCTTAAGGAGGCTTAGGCAACCATCTTAGGGTGTCAGGATAGGGGTGGCAGTAAAATTTGAATCTCTAGCCACTTGCTGGGGATTTGGATTTTTAAAAATGCTGCAGATGTGTTTAACCCCACACTCCCCACCGCTATACAGCCGGGAGTGTGAGGACTTTAGTAAATCCGAATGTCGGCTGTCATGTGGAAGTGATACAAGTGGCTGTGAAGCTACCTGTTACTTCCATTAACATTGCTGCAATGTGCCATAACCCTGCCACTGTACAGCAGAGCATGGTCCTGTCATGGTGGGTGTCACTGGAAAGGGCGGTGGGACCTCAGCGGACCTTCTGTACACAGACCAGGATGTGACATGAATGACGTGGATGACATCACTTCCTGGACTGGAGCTGTCATTCTCTAGGATCACTGCCGGGGGAAGCAGCTGATGGAAGGTGGTCTGTGTTCCATTTTAGAGCCCCCCTCCCCCCCACATACACCTACAAAAATACACACATTGGGGTGCCTACATAGGAACACAGTGACCCCCACACACGTTACATATCAGCGCACACGCCGGAGGGAGAGCAATGATTGGAGCACCAGTGCTCCTGTGTAACTCTATACTGATGACCTGGAGGGGCTATTAAAGTGTTCCAAGTGCACACAGTGTTACGGCTTGACATGTTCCTGAGCCTTTAAATGGTCTCTCAGTCTGGTTCAGTAGGAATCACAATCATGGGAAAGACTGCTGACCTGACACCATCACTGACACCCTCCATAAGGAGGGAAAGCCTCAAAAGGGAATTGCAGAAGAAGTTGGATGTTCCCAAAGTGCTGTATCAAAGCACATTAATAGAACGTTATGTGGAAGGGAAAAGTGTGGAAGAAAAAGGTGCACAAGCAACAGGGATGACCGCAGCCTGGAGAGCATTGTCAGGAAAAGGCCATTCAAAAGTCTTGGGGACAAGGAATGGACTGAGGCTAGAGTCAGTGCATCAAGAGCCACCACACACAGACGGATCCTGGACATGGGCTTCAAATGTCGTATTCCTCTTGTCAAGCCACTCCTGAACAACAAACAAAGTCAGAAGCGTCTTACCTGGGCTAAAGAAACATACCTGGTTTGCTGTTCAGTGGTCCAAAGTCCTCTTTTCTGATGAGAGCAACTTTTGCATGTCATTTGTAAACCAAGGACCCCGAGTATGGAGGAAGAATGGAGAGGCCCAAGGACCCTGAGTATGGAGGAAGAATGGAGAGGCCCAAGGACCCCGAGTATGGAGGAAGAATGGAGAGGCCCAAGGACCCTGAGTATGGAGGAAGAATGGAGAGGCCCAAGGACCCCGAGTATGGAGGAAGAATGGAGAGGCACAAGGACCCCGAGTATGGAGGAAGAATAGAGAGGCCCAAGGACCCCGAGTATGGAGGAAGAATGGAGAGGCACAAGGACCCCGAGTATGGAGGAAGAATGGAGAGGCCCAAGGACCCCGAGTATGGAGGAAGAATGGAGAGGCCCAAGGACCCCGAGTATGGAGGAAGAATGGAGAGGCCCAAGGACCCCAAGTATGGAGGAAGAATGGAGAGGCCCAAGGACCCCGAGTATGGAGGAAGAATGGAGAGGCCCAAGGACCCCGAGTATGGAGGAAGAATGGAGAGGCCCAAGGACCCCGAGTATGGAGGAAGAATGGAGAGGCACAAGGACCCCAAGTATGGAGGAAGAATGGAGGGGCACACACTGCAAGATGCTTGAAGTCCAGTGTGAAGTTTCCACAGTCTGTGTTGATTTGGGGAGCCATGTCATCTGCTGGTGTTGGTCCACTGTGCTTCATCAAGTCCAGGGTCAACGCAGCCGCCGTCTACCAGGATATTTTGGAGCACTTCATGCTTCCTTCCGCAGACGAGCTTTATGGGGATGCTGACTTCATTTTCCAGCAGGACTTGGCTCCGCCCACGCTACCAAAAGCACCAAAACCTGGTTCAATGACCGTGGGATTACTGTGCTTGATTGGCCAGCAAACTTGCCTGACCTGAACCCCATAGAGAATCTATGGGGCATTGCTAAGAGAAAGATGAGAGACATGAGACCGAACAATGCAGAAGAGCTGAAGGCCGCTATTGAAGCATCCTGGTCTTCCATAACACCTCAGCAGTGCCACAGGCTGATAGCTTCCATGCCACGCCGCATTGAGGCAGTAATTGCTACAAAAGGGGCCCCAACCAAGTACTGAGTACATATGCATGCTTCTACTTTTCAGAGGTGCGATATTGTTCTATGTACAATCCGTGTTTTATTGATTGCATGGAATATTCTCATTTTCTGAGATTGTGGATTTGGGGTTTTCATGAGCTGTAAGCCATAATCATCACAATGATGACAAATCACGGCTGGAACTATCTTGCTCTACATGGAATGAGTCAATCTCATAGTTTCACCTTTTAAGTTGCTGCACTGAAATCAATGAACTTTTGCACAATATTCTAATTTTTGAGTTTCACCTGTATATAACATAATTTATTATTTCATATTCTGATTCCACTTTATTTTACATTATTTTATCTAATTAAACCCCCCCCCCTTTATTTTTTTACTCTTCCTCACATATATATATGTATATATATATTTCTATTATATATTTCATTTATATACTGGGTTTTTAAATTATATTGTTTTTCATATATTTGTACACATTTTTTACATGGGTTTTATACAAGTTTTATGTATGTATTGATCATCATGTAAACCTTCTAGGTCCATATATATTTATAATAGAGGATCACACCCCCCTTTTTGGCCACCTGCCAGCATTTATCATCATCATTACTATTTATATATATAATGTTTATAATATATTATTTTTTTCATTTTTATTATTATTATTTTTATTTTTTCTTTTATCATTATTATTTCATTATTATCCATTTTTCTCCAGTATATATTTTTACATTTTTCTCTATCCTTCAATCACCGTTCTTTATCATAACACATCATAGCAATAAACCTTTTTATTACATAACATTTCCATACAATCACATCACCATTCTATTTATATTTCATTTTACTAGTCATCCTCATTCTATTTATCCATTTGACATTTGTGGTGTTTGGGGTTTGGGTCCCGCTCCCACACCTCCTCATAGCCTGGTCCGCTTGCATTTCCATCCCTTCTCCTTGACATTATTGCTTTTCCAGCACTATACATGGAGACAGTCTTCTCCTTCCACCCCACCTCTGACATACTTCCTCGGAGTGTGTCAGTCGGAACGGCTCTCGGGCTCATGTGCAGACCGCACGGCGCAGTGCGCACCGGCAGGCCCATTCACTGACAGTCACGTCCACACCACTGCAGCGTGGCGAGCAGCACAGACGCCATGTCAGTTCCTCCATTTACATTTGGCACACATGTACAATCTGGGATACATCTGGCACAGTTCACTATCTTCTAAACAATCCTTTTCCAATCATTACCGTTCACCTTACTACATGGTCCTTTCAGATTTCTGGCATGTATCCTAATGTAGAAGCACTAGAAATTCTGGGGACCCCCTGCACACTGGAATATACCCTTTCAAGCAGACTATGCAATAAATAGGGATGTTTAGTTCACACATATTGCAATACATGCTTAAGCTGCCAACTGCGTCAAAGTCACCCCACTATGGCCAGTCCTACTCTGCTCTGCCTACTACAAAAAGTGTAGGACTGGCCATAGAGGGATGACTTTGACGCAGTTGGCAGCTTAAGCATGTATTGCAATATGTGTGAACTAAACATCCCTATTTATTGAATAGTCTGCTTGAGGGTATATACCAGTGTGCAGGGGGTCCTCAGAATATTTAGTGTTAATATGTGGTTACACCCCTTTAGCACCTGATGGATAAATGTATGCACTAGCTGTTGGGATTTGAGCACAGGGATCTCTTGTTTGTTCTAATGTACAGTCAGGTCCATAAATATTGGGACATGGACACAATTCTAACATTTTTGGCTCTATACACCACAATGGATTTGAAATGAAACAAACAAGATGTACTTTAACTGCGGACTGTCAGCTTTAATTTGAGGGTATTTACATCCAAATCAGGTGAACGGTGTAGGAATTACAACAGTTTGCATATGTGCCTCCCACTTGTTAAGGGACCAAAAGTAATGGGACAGAATAATAATCATAAATCAAACTTTCACTTTTTAATACTTGGTTGCAAATCCTTTGCAGTCAATTACAGCCTGAAGTGTGGAACGCATAGACATCACCAGACGCTGGGTGTCATCCCTGGTGATGCTCTGCCAGGCCTCTACTGCAACTGTCTTCAGTTCCTGCTTGTTCTTGGGGCATTTTCCCTTCAGTTTTGTCTTCAGCAAGTGAAATGCTCAATCGGATTCAGGTCAGGTGATTGACTTGGCCATTGCAGAACATTCCACTTCTTTGGTTGCTTTTGCAGTCTGCTTTGGGTCATTGTCCATCTGCACTGTGAAGCGTCCAATGAGTTGTGAAGCATTTGGCTGAATATGAGCCGATAATATTCCCTAAACACTTCACAATTCATCCGGCTGCTTCTGTCAGCAGTCACTTCATCAATAAATACAAGAGAAGCAGTTCCATTGGCAGCCATACATGCCCACGCCATGACACTACCACCACCATGCTTCACTGATGGGATGGTATGCTTAGGATCATGAGCAGTTCCTTCTCCATACTCTTCTCTTCCCATCACTCTGGTACAAGTTGATGTCGGTCTCATCTGTCCATAGGATGTTGTTCCAGAACTGGGAAGGCTTTTTTACATGTCGTTTGGCAAACTCTAATCTGGCCTTCCTGTTTTTGAGGCTCACCAATGGTTTCCATCTTGTGGTGAACCCTCTGTATTCACTCTGGTGAAGTCTTCTCCTGATTGGTGACTTTGACACACATACACCTACCTCCTGGAGAGTGTTCTTGATCTGGCCAACTGTTGTGAAGGGTGTTTTCTTCACCAGGGAAAGAATTCTTCGCTCATCCACCACAGTTGTTTTCCGTGGTCTTCCGGGTCTTTTGGTGTTGCTGAGCTCTTCTGCATTCCTTCTTTTTAAGAATGTTCCAAACAGTTGTTTTGGCCACGCCTAATGTTTTTGCTATCTCTCTGATGGGTTTGTTTTGTTTTTTCAGCCTAATGATGGCTTCACTGATAGTGACAGCTCTTTGGATCTCATCTTGTGAGTTGACAGCAACAGATTCCAAATGCAAATCGCACACTCGAAACGAACTCTGGACCTCACTTCCTGTCTGTGCCTGACCTCATTTCCTGTCTCTGCCTGACATCACTTCCTGTCTTCCATAGAGACTTCCTGTCTCTGTATATGTGTGATCACCACCTTGTGGAGATCAGAAGACCTGCAGCCCGAGAAATGTCACAAGAAAATGAAACCAAACTGTACGATGACAGCAAGATTTATTACCTACTTCAGCTCCGGAATGTTTTACCCCCTTCATGACCGGGGTATTTTTTGCCATTCAGCACTGGCAATTGTGCGGTCGTGCAACATTGCACCCAAATTAAATTGATATAATTTTGCACACAAATAGAGCTTTCTTTGGTGGTATTTGATCAGCACTGGGGGTTTATTTTTTAATACAAATGATATTTTTGATGGAATCCTTTTGCTTGGTTGACCTATATTAGTTTATAGGTCCATACTATGAGGTGAGCGGCCATCCTTATCCATAGGTGGAGGTGCAGATTTCACGGGGGAGCACTGCAGTCTTTCTGGAGCACATTCTATATCAAACACCTTTATTCTAGCACAATATTTGATTGAACTGTTCCAATTATAAGGACTTTTATTGTATATTTTATATGTATATATGTACATGAATATGGCGTGTATGAGATAGAGCAACACTGATTTTCAGATTGAATTAAATGATATCTTCTACTTTGTTATAAGACATATCCCATAAAATCTGATTTCTTCATACATGTAGTACAACATGTATTCTGCTCCGTGTCTTTGGTAGAAGCATAGCTGAATCCGTGGATATTGATTGGTTTGTGTGAAGTTATGGCGTCTACAAACTATGGGATATAGAATGGAATTTATGCAGCTTTTACGTCGCTGTTACTTTCTGACTGCCGATCACATTTCTTGAGGCAGTAAAATGCCCGGACCTTACAAACATCCCCAAATGTCCCCTTTATGGGAAGGATACATCCCAAGGTATGTGCTGAGAGGCATGTTGTGTCCATGGAACATTTACAGTTATTGCCATAAGTTATTGGAAAATGAAAAACAAAATCTATTTACACCAAGTTGTCATTTAATGAGCTATTTCTGGCACACGCCATGGGGAGATGTGGAATTACACCCCAAAACACATTCTGCTACTTCTCCCCAGTATGAGGACACCCCAAGTGACAGACTTTCTGGCAGCCTTGCCACATACAGGTCCCAAAATCCAATGACCACCTTAAGGAGGCTTAGACAACCATCTTCGGGTGCGAGGGTAGGGTAGTGGTAAAATATGAACCTGCAGCCACTTGCTGGGGATTTGGATTTTTAACAATGCT